CTGCACCCCTGCGAGGGGGGGGCCAGCCACAGCTTCTCTGGGCAACCTGTGCCAGTGCCTCACCACCTCCAGAGGGAAGAATTTCTTCCTTAGATCCAATCTAAATCTCCCCTCTTTCAGTTTAAAGCCATTGCCCGTGTCCTGTCACTACACACCCCTGTCCAAAGTTCCTCTCCTGCTTTCCTGTAGCCCCTTTAGGCACTGGAAGGCTGCAATAAGATCACCCCGGAACCTTCTCCTCTCCAGGCTGAACAGCCCCAACTCTCTCAGCCTGTCTCCATAGCAGAGGTGCTCCAGCCCTCGGGTCATTTTTGTGGCCTCCTCTGGACCCGCTCCAGCAGCTCCATGTCCTTCTTGTGTTGGGGACCCCAGAGCTGAACGCAGTATTCCGGGAGGGTCTCAGGAGAGCAGAGCAGAGGGGCAGAATCTCCTCCCTCGACCTGCTGCCCACGCTGCTCTGGATGCAGCCCAGGACACGGTTGGCTTTCTGGGCTGCCAGCGCACAGTGCCGGTTCATGTTGAGCTTCTCATCAACCAGCACCCTCAAGTCCCTTTCCTCAGGGCTGCTCTCAATCCATTCTCCACTCAGCCTGTACTGGTGCTTGGGATTGCCCCGACCCACGTGCAGGACCTTGTTGAACTTCATGAGGTTCCCACAGGCCCACCTCACCTTCAAAAAGCATAAAGCACCTTCAAAATAATGCAAATTCCTTTTTGCGTTTTCAAGGTGTTTGGCATGGCCAGAGCAGCTGGAGACAGACGTTGGAAAACGTTCTCACTTGCTTTCTCCTAACAGCTTAGACACGCAAACAATCTGAGCTCATTAGCAGGGATGTTAGGAGGAAATGGCTATTTCATGGTTTGCTAAAATCACAGAAAAGCAGGAATAAAGCAGTCCCTTGCATTTCCCAGGCTGCAGTATTGCTGTATGGAGGCCAGGGCTGGATTTATGGAAGGATTCATGATCTTTAGAGGAAAAAAGCCACTTCCTCGCCTGCCCAGGGACTGACACGGCTCCCACCACCCCACCCCGCTGGTGCCTTACAGCATGACTTTGTTTTCCCTCCCTGCTGGAGAAGAATCTTCTCCACAGATGGAGAAACAAGACAGGGGAAGACTGGCAAAAAGCAGGCCTTTGCAGGCACGTTTGGAAGAGTCTCAAGATGCCACGAGCCCTGCTTCTCCCCCTCCCGTGAGCTATCAGCCCCCTCCTGCAGCCCCCCAAATTATTTCTGTAAGCACGCTGCAGGCGGAGGTGAGGAGGCTCCAACGCTGCTGTGAAGGATGTTAAACTCAAGGATTGTCACGGCAAATTCTGCTCCAGGGACGCCGGGGAGGGAATTTCTCCCTCGAACGGAGCTTGGCATGGTTCTACACCCACCCAGGAGCACGGGGGTCTGCATCGGACCGTGACGTGAGCACCACGGCTCGGGCGGAGCAAAACCCAGCGCTCAGTTACAGGCCTGTCTGGTTTTCCCCATCCGCTATCGCCAAAACTGCGGAATCCCGTTGGTGTTTTACCTCTTGACATGACATACTGGCAGGGCCGTGCCATGTTTCTACGCAAAACCAAATGTGTAATTCCGGATGGATACAAATAAGCTACAGTAGCTCTTACCTTTGTGTGTATTCCAGGCTGTTAGAGACTTACTGGAAAATTAAATATTAAGCCGTTTCGCTATACACTTCAAAGAGCAGGATTTATTTTTTTTTAAAGCTCACTGGTGGTGAGAAGTACCGAGCAAGGCTGTCGGGAATAAGAAGTACTTCTTTTCCAGTCTGATCCAAAGACCCTTGATGTCACTGCAAGGCTGACATCTCTGTATTGATTTCAGCAGGCTTCGGGATCAGGCTTGGGCCACAAAAAGCACGTAAGAGGTTGGTGCAGCTTGAAGATTCCCTGCACTCGTGGTCTGCAGCTCAAACCTGATGAAGGAAGAGTCACCAAGGGCTCCCTTACGCTGCACTACACTCAGCCTCCCTCAGGGGCTATCGAGAGGTGGCCACTTGAAGCAACTCAAGAGATTAGCGGACAGCAGGTCCATTAAGGGCTGTAAAATCCAATGATCCAGGTGTTATCACCTCCTTCACAATGTTCACTGTATGGAAACATCCCAGCAAGAGCTAGGCAGGCTCCAGGGGGTTCAAGCCATGCGGGTGCCCAGAGGTCACTGAGCAGTAGCCCATGGGGCACCTTCCGTGGATGGTGATACTTCAGGGAGCTGTGGCCTCGGCTGCACAAGAAGAGGTGAAGTTCACCCCTGAAATTTGAAAGTGAAAGAACAGCCACAAATTTAAAATCATGAGGTCAGTATAGGAGTGATAGCCTAGACCCACAACGTCCATTATCTTCTGAAGATAATCCTATTTAAAACGTGCTTTTCATGTCCACTATCTTTTTGAGATAATCCTATTTAAAATATATTTTCTCCTAAAAGTACTTCCCAAGTGTCAAGCTTGGTTTCTCCTCTGAATCCGTGGGCAAAAATTCTGTCATTTTGAACAGGTGTTGGCCTAAATTTGAACAGTCATTAAGTGATAACTAACGTACCATGCTGAAATGAAACGGGCTCCTCACATCCCATTACGCCTCACGTGCCGACGTTCGTTTCCTGGAAAACCTGGATGACATCTGGCTTCCTCGCGAGCTGCTGTGCCAGCGTGCCCGCGCTGTCCGGCGCATCCCGCAGCCCAGCGTGCAGCAGGATCCGTGCGGCGTCCGCCTGCTGCCCGGCGCAGGCGGCGTGCAGGGCTGTGGAGGAGACAAAATGTCAGGACAGAGGCTGAGATGGCGCCGGGGTTCGGCCTCAGCCCGCTTCGGATGCAAACATGGGATTGCCAGAGAAGGAAACCCAGTCAGCAGAGGGAATGCATCGAGGATGAAAAATGATTTTTGCCAGTTGCAGCACTCAGCGAAGCAGCAGTGGGATGGCACAGCAGGGCTCAGCTGCCATGGCCGTGCATATCTACAGCAGCGATGGGATGACTAAACCAGCCCAAGCATGGGACACATCTTCTTCCACAGCCACCCATGCTGGTAGAAAAGCTACCAGCCCAGCTCACCCCAGCTATTACCCCCATCTTCCCCTCACAGGTTACTAGTCCCTCCAATCCATCGAGTGGTACCAACCTGGCTGAGCCAAGGCTAACCAGGTTTGCAAACATACTGGGAGTATTTATGCCAACTTGGTTCGTTTTGACTGAGTCATGGGTAGAAGGTGCCCATAGCAGGAAGGGGAGGCTGTGGGACAGAGCAGGCGGCCTCCAGGCTTCTTATTGCTCTGTGTTTGGGGTGGATTTAATAGTGATGTGCAAGAAAGGGGCTTGAAACTACTCTGGATGTGACCAGGGTCCTTTATGGGCCTGGGGGCCCAGGGCTGGGGCTCCCTGCCAGCTCACTCCAGGGTCAAGGAGTAGAATCACAGAATCACGGACTGGTTTGGGTTGGAAGGGACCTCAAAGATCATCTAGTTCCAACCCCCCTGCCATGGGCAGGGACACCCTCCACTACACCAGGTTGCCCAAAGCCTCATCCAACCTGGCCTTGAACACTGCCAGGGATCAGGAATGAGAAAATGAGAAAGGTTTCCATGCACCGCGTGCAGCAAAAACCATCCCACAGGAGGAGGCTGACATACTCCAGCCCAAGCCCCAGCTCATCCCACAGACCCCTCTGACAGCTGGCACGCTGAGCCAGCATGGCCCCAGCACAGTTAGGCAGTCCTGTTACACTTGGCTTGTGCAGTAGGATGAGCCAGCCGCCTTCTCCTGGCCTAATCCTGCACAGGGGTGAGTATTTTTTATGCTGAGGGTTGTTGGCTCCTGCTGCAGCCTGATGTTGACCACAGGGTACCCTGGTCACCATGGATAATTCACGCAGGACACTGCAGGAGCAAAGTCTGGGTGAGAAGCTCCCTGGGACGCAGCGGCACTAACGCAGCAAAGGTGCTGGGGAACGGGGGAGCCACGGGTGCAAAGAGCCACCACGAACGTCCCAGGGCTGGACGAGTTCAGCAGAGCTCAAATTTACTCACTGAGTAAATGGGGGCGGAGGGAGGGATGGAGAGATACAAGACTCTTCATGCTCGCCGCTGAAGCGTGCTATTAAGCAAACCTGAAGACTGGGTAAGTTGCCAATTTTGGCAATGGCTGAAACCATTTATATATACTTTTTTTGAGAGAGAGAGGTGCTGATGCAAGAGACGCCTCAGACTCTCACGCTGGGAATGCCAACTCACTGGCATTACTATGGCAACTATATTTACATTGAAGTGCTCTGTTATTATTTGCTCATAAGCCATTCCAGGCAGTTTGCTACGGAATTGAGGCTTAAGAGCTTGTGCAATCATCGTATTTGTCTGCCAGCCCTAACCGCTTCAAATTGGCTAATTTCAACCGAATTTGATAGCGAGGCAGTGGTAGCAAAGACACTAAGCTCCTGAAAGCTTCATGCAAAAGAAGCAGCTGGGTAAAGAGAAATACCAATTAGCATCTCTGTTCTTATCCCCCAAGGGAAAGGCCTCAGTGCAGGCTCAACCACGCCACGAGACATCAGAAAGTCCGGCAGTGAATGAAAGCTGCAAAAAAAAACCAACCCCCAAGCTTCACATGCCACGCTGCTCCAAGAGCCTTTTGCATCTGGCATCTCCTTGCACGCTCTGCTGAGCAGACACAGGAGGCTGGGCTCCTGTTACTGTGTTCTTGCTGTCATCCAGGAGGTGAACAAACAGCTCGGCAGCCTTACCAGAACGGCTCTTCTCATCCTTCGCGTGGACGTCAGCACCGAGGGACAGCAGCGTCCGGATGGTATGCGCGTGTCCTTCCTGCAGTGGCGAGCACAGGCACGTGGGTTATTTATTCAGAACCAGCTCTGCACAGTTCCTCACCTTTGCATTTAGCAGAAATCATAGAATCATAGAATGGTCAGGGCTGGAAGGGACCTTCAAAGGGCATCTAGTCCAACCCCCCTGCAAGGAACAGGGATATCTCCAACTAGATCAGGTTGCTCAGGGCCTCATCCAACCTGGCCTTGAACGTCTCCAGGGATGGAGCATCCACCACCTCTCTGGGCAACCTGTTCCAGTGTTCTACAACTCTCATGGTAAAAAATTTTTTCCTAATATCCAATCTGAATCTACCTCCCTCTATTTTAAAACCATTACCCCTTGTCCTATCACAACTGGCCCTCCTGAACAGCCTCTCCCCATCTTTCTTGTAGGCCCCCTTGAGGTACTGGAAGACCGCTATAAGGTCACCCCGGAGCCTCCTCTTCTCCAGGCTGAACAGCCCCAACTCTTTCAGCCTGTCCTCATAGGAAAGGTGCTCCAGCCCTCTTATCATCTTCGTGGCCCTCCTCTGGACCCTCTCCAACTGGTCCATGTCCTTCTTATGTTGGGGGCTGTTGTCCTTCTTATGTTGGGATATCATAGAATAATCTGGTTGGAAGAGACCCTCAAGATCATCCAGTCCAACCATTCACCCAATATAACAAATAAAATATAAATAACACAGGCCTGTGAAGAAAGGAGGCCACGAGCGATCTGGCCCTAACTGCATACGGCACCTGGAAGCGCACAGATGTGGATCCACTCTGGCACAGTCAAACTTGGGGCTACCAGGAGCTGCTCCAGGCTCCAGAGGATCTTAAAGCAGCTGTAAATCAGCTGTGGCAGCGCAGATCGCCTTCACTACCCAGGGATTGCCCAGGCACAGCAGACACCCTGCTGTTACCCCACGGGAACTGGCCAGAGAGATGCCACTGGGCATCTTCTCCTGCCCTTCCACTGGCAGCCCATGAGGGGAGTCGGAGCTTGGCCCTCGGTCAGCGTGTCCACACGCCTTGCGTGTCCCTGGCAGCAATTTCAACCCAGAGGCCGAAAAGGCAGCAGGAGGCATCCCAGGAGTCTCTCTGCAAACATTTAACACAACGTTTTAAAATAAAAACAGCTCAATTAAGACCAACAGTGCTTAAAATCACGCCACGGTGCCCAGCTGTCTCTGGTGGTGGCACAGCCGAAGACTGGGAGCGGTGCCTTGGCAGGGCAAGTGTGATAGAGGCACAATCCAGTCCAGATCCAGGCAGGTGGATCTGCTTTTAGACAACTGCAGATCCCATGTGATCTTCCTGATCGTGGTCAGCAGATCCACCTCGCACATCCAGGACTGTGAGGTGTGAGGGATTTGGAGGATCGTCTTCCAGCACTGCCAGTGGCTGCGGAGGAGTTAATGCACAAACAATGTCCAACTTACAACTGGGTGACACAACCTAAAGATGTTTCTCAAGAGCAAATTAGCGCCCTAATTTGTGAACCTGTCTTGTCTTTTCCTCCCTGGTCCTTGCCTCCAATCAAGTAACTCAAATAAATTGCTTCCAAGCCCAGCTGGTCACGGAGCTGCCGGATCCCTGACTTACGTGTCACAATCAGCAGCTGGTTGGTTGTTGAAAAGACTAAACACCAGCAAAAAGCCATGTGTTCCCCCACACTGCAAATCCACTCCAAGCACCTCGGGGATCTAGAGTTGCTCCCACTGAGGTGTGTTTCAGCTCAGAAAGCAGAACCTGTTGCTGGTGCAGACTGTTGCACACCTGCCCGTGGTACCCTTAGGCACTGGCATTTCCTAAAGGATTACTCCAGTGTTTGTAACGCTCTGTGAGAAGACGCAGAACACCGTGCTTACACACCGTCATGACCCACACTGTCATAGAATCACAGAATGGTTTGGGTTGGAAGGGACCTCAAAGATCAGCCAGTCCCAACCCCCCTGCCATGGGCAGGGACACCCTCCACCACACCA